CATCAAAAAAGTTTGTAAACCATGTATGTAATGATAACAGTATTACAAGTAATGCGTTATACTTCAGCTCTGGTAAGTATTAAATACAATATAATATCTTATAGACAACTAGTTCAGAATCCACATCTTCAACCAGTTCGGGTTCTTCATCAAGTAGCTCATCGAGTTCAGGCAGTGAATCCAGTTCATCTGATTCAGAGAACTCCAGTAGTTCTGCCAATAGTGAGAAAGCATCTGATACAGAAAGAACTAGGAAAAAAGCGCAGTTTCCAGCCACTCGTCATGTTAAATCCAAAGTTGAAACAGTATCTGTGCCACCTCTGGAAAATAAAAATAAAGAACGGCAGCCATCAAAACCCAGACCATCAGTGTATTCCTCCGAGTCTGAAGAGTTGCCCAATAAGGCAAAATCACCCCAAAAGAGGAAACCGCCGGCTAAACCGAAAGCTACTGCTACTGTTGCACCAGTTGTTAAGACACAAAGGTCTCCTGCAAAACCAGTGCCTGCATCAGGACAGCATAAAACTACACCTGCTTCAAAACCTGCCAATGCCAAATCCAACAAATTTTCTGGTATGTTCATGTTTTCTATACTACTACTACTTCTATATTACTGCACGCGTGTGCGCATGTGCGTGAGTAATAAAATATCATTTTTATATTTTCAAAACAATTATAATGGATAATTTTTAAGGTTCCACAAATGCCAATGGCAAACCTCCCGAAAAATCTGGGAAGACAACGGAACCAGTCCAGAAGAAATTGAAGAAGAAAAGTATATTCAGTCCAGAAAACAGTAGCGAAAGTGACAGTGGTGTCTCAGCAAAAGCTAATACAGTGAAACCAACTAGTAGTTCTGCGAAATGTTCCAAAAATCCGCCGACTAAGGTAAAATTAAATGAAACCAAGCAAAAATCAGCAACAACATCAGCAACAAGCAGACCTGGTAAATAATCCTATCTTATTAACGACTTCAGATATTTTGATTTCTTCACATAAATTGACATTATTTTTGACGTAACGATTTTTATAGTTCCAAAACCCGTGCAGCCACAGAAATCAGATAGTTCGGCCAGTTCGAAGAGTTCTGGTGGTTCGGCATCCTCTGGTAGTTCGGACAGTAGCTCCGATTCGGAATCGTCAGAAAGTATCACCAGCTCTCAACCTCAACCGAAAAAGAAAGAAACGCAACCTAGTGCATTAGCGAGTAATACCATAACGGGCGTACCACCTAAGAGACCTTCCGCGACTGTCGCACCAGTAAAACCGCAAAAAGCAGTTACCAGACGACAAGGTTTGAACGCATTGTTTTTATCAATGTAAAATGTATATATGAAAAGAGCAAGAATAAATAAAAATAATTGTTTAATTAGGTGCGGTAAAAAGCGACAACGATGGAGATGCGTCTGCAAGTGAGAAAGAGATGGATGATCGTGAAACATCGCCTTCGAAAGCGGCGACGAAAGGGAAGCGGAAACTGCAAACACGCAAAGGAAGTAAATTGCTCCAGTTACAGGCGAAGGCAATCAGCGATTCCGAATCTGATACAGGTATGAACAAAAGGGAATCTTATATCGAATTACGAAATTCGTTCAATTTGATTTCTCTATTTTGTTTTTGTCCATTCTACTTTTAACTGCAATAATTTTCTGTTAATATGAATATATTAAAGTTTATTATCTTTAAATTTTTTCGCTTATGATATTTAGATAATGAATATAGCATATTCATAAATTATGTTAAATAATATAATTTGTTGAGAATAGCTGAGAGTAAGAGGAGCACAAGTAAGTCGCCTGTCAAACGCGCTGGACCATCCGCCGCCGCTAGACAATCCTCTGGAACTGGTAGATCAACACAGAACAGTAGTATTGCCTCCAATATTACAAGTGGTAGAACAAATCAAGCTTCCTATAATCGAGCACGTGCAAAAGAGCGTGAATGTCCATTAGCTGCGTCCTGCGACTCGCGAGGTCATCTCTCCGGAAAACTCGACACGCACTTTACTTTAGAAGCGTGTCCATTATATCATAATACCACACCTCAGGCTTGCATGTAAGTCGAGCTGCATCCAGGATTTTAATTTGAAATCCATCCATTGATGAGAATATGTATCAATTGAGACACATATTTGATCGTACGTTAAAGGGATAATATTGATTTTTTTTTAGAGAATTTTATAAGGAAAGAAAAAAGCGAGAGGAAGAACGCAAGAAGGCGATAGCAAATCTAGCAAAAAAACCTAAAGGTGTTCATCAAACTACTGAACAGCGCAATTATCAACTTAAAGTACGAGAAATGAGAAACAAATGGAAGGGTAACACTGGTGATGGTAACGAAAGCGATAGCGGCGGTGAATTGCAGGGGAATGAAAAGGACAAGCAGCCTCGATTGAACAATCTCACGCCTGATTATGACTTGAAACTATTTATGGAAGCTCAGGCAATAGCAAGTGAAAAAATCGTAAGTATTCAATTTATATCTTAATGTAATATATACAATGTAATATATACAATGTATATGTTATTATATATATATATATATATATATATATATATATAT